CAATCTATGTGTATATAAACTGAAAATATATTAAATAAATGTGCTTCAATTCTCTTTGGTGTTTTCATTTAGGTTCTATTAAAGGAACTACATATGTAAGAATGTTCACAGCATTTCATTGTCAACAAAGGTAAGCTTATCAGATTCTGATCACATAACTGTGGTTTGCAAGTGGCTGTCAGGTAGTTATTTTAGATTTCGTGTAAACATGTCTTAAAATGTAAGGGGTCCTGGCAAGTGGAACCGCTCGCGTGCCCGGCAAAAAATTTCCCTTATTTTTAAATCCAAAAGTTGACAGGTATGCTGGGAACGCCTTGGGCTTCCCCCGGATGAGCTGRCCTAAGTGGCTGGGGAGAGGGAAGTCTGGGCCTCTCTGCTTAGTCTGCTGCCCCGTGACCCGACCCCAGATAAGCAGAAGAAAACGGATGGACGGACAGACTTTTTGGTAGTTTTTGCAGAGGAACTCTGGTGAATATATGTTTTCAGTAGTTTTTGTTGAAAAATAGCCAAGTCACTTAACCTTGAAGAACCTTATAATTTCCTACATTTTTTGTGTGGACAGCACATTTGAAGTAAATACTCAAAATTTTATTTTTCAAGTAGTTTTTTTAAATATTTTTAATAGAATTTTATTATTTTATTTTATTTTTTGTGTGACCGTACTGCTGAAACGCTTTTATTTAAATAGGTATCAGTGACTCAAAATTTTGTTGCACAATTTCTAAAATTCCAAAGTGCACAAGCTAATCTTAAAGCACAAATCTGTCTGTGTAGTCCTTCACCTGCAGATCCTTTCTTCCACTTTTACTAAAGTATCTCTCTCTTTTTTGTCTGGGATTGAACCACCAATGTGCCACAGCAAATTCAAATCTTATTATAAACTGCAATATATTGAATAAAGACAACAAACTGATTAATTTAACATATTTCAAACCTTGACCCTATTGACTTAGCCTTGTAGTTTCTGTGAGGGGTTTAAAATCTTAATTCCACCTTGTCAAAATAGTTGTGTAGACCCTCTGGATCAACAGTCTCTCCAGAGACAATAATTTTCACCAACTATTAACTACACAAGTTGTAGTTACAAGAAAATTTGACTGCTAAGGGTAAAAATCCAAAGTGTTACCTCACAGGCCTTAGACATGTTTGGTGGGACTGTTGGCTAATTGTGTAAGTCAAAAGTTGAGGTAAAAAGTAACCATAATAAAAGAGTGAAACATACATGTAATTTTATTTTCACGTTTTGCACCTTCTGGAGACCCATTTAGAAGCTTTAAAAAGACATTTACCTGAATGACCCCTCCTCCACGGCCTTGCGTCCCGGCTATAAAACAGTCGGGCAGCTGCAGCATCTTTCCCAGCCAATCTAACATCACTGTCTCCAGCTCGGTGCAGGCTGGGCTGGCAGCCTGAAAATACAACAAGCAACATTCAGACAAATGTCTCAGTTTGACACTTCAACAAATAAAACAATAAACACAGAACAAGAGCCGTGTTCGTGTATTTGTTACCCAGGAAAATCCAATGCAGCCGATGGCACTACATAACACATCAGCCAGCATGGCAGGGAAGGAAGAAGCTGCTGGAAAATAAGCAAAGAATCGGGGGCTGTGCCAGTGGGTGACCTGGGAAAGATAAATAATAACCCAAAAATAAATATTTAAATTAGACCCATATCCAGCATGTATTTCTAATATGATATTGTCATATATATTTTAAAAATATTAAACTTAAAGGAAAGAAAATGCCCTATTTACAGCAGCACTGTCACACTAACTGAGGAATATTACTTGAACAGAGCAAATGTCTACAAATATCAAAGCTAAAAATACATATTTTCTTTAATAACAGAAGCTTGTGGCTAACAACAATGAAACATTGTTTTTTTATTTCATTCAAAGCATCTAGAATTTGTCTAATTTATTTTTTCAATCTAAATAATGTATGCATTTTTTTATATAGTGTGTGGATTGAAAAACCGAAAGATCTGGTGTCACCTCACCCCAGGCATTATGACCCTCTCTACGTCTTGCATTATTTCGTCAAACCCCTCAGGCTCAAGTGGAGCCTCGGTGGGGATTAACTGACGGAGATACCCTGGTTCCAGGTCAGGGTAAACAGGTCGCTCCTCTATCTTTTCCAAGTAGTCAGCCACGTAGTCAACCATCTCTTTGCCTCTGCGTCGAAATTCTGCAACATCCATGATTTGGCTGGAAAACAACACAGGGATCTGGGTTAGACATTGTGCTGTTTATGTTTTATCAGACTGCAAGGGATTTTTTAAACATCTAATGGTGCGTTCACACCGAACGCGATTTCAGCGTCAAAATCGCAGCCAACGCTGAAGTTTGAAGCTTGTGCACTTTGAGGTCAGACGCAGGACAACTGCGCTGCACGGCGACAGCCGCCCCGCCCCTCCCTCCTCTGTGGGGCTGTTTAATGTCGGACGAGGAAGTGGCTTTGCTTTATTTACAGAGAGCCAGAGCATGTCACGTTCATCAGATAATTAATTCATAATTAATTCACCAGATAATTCAGAGAAGAGGTTCACAGCTCACTTTCAGGACTATTTTTCCAGTCTGATGAGTCGCTGCCACGCATTGCTGCGGATCAGGACACGACTGCAGCACTCATTTCAGCTAAAGAGCAGGAGCTCTGTCTGTTTCAGGTTAGTGGACATCATTCAGTAAACTGTCCCGTCGGGAAATATGTCACTACGTCACACAGTGGAGTCTCTCTGATTGGTTGACGCGGCGCGTCGAGCTGCAAAAGTTCAGATTTTCTAACTTCAGCGATTTGAGCCTCAGCGCGTCGAACGCTCAGATCGTTCAAATCGCGCTGCTCTAATTACGCTTGAGGCGCCGCAGCACTTCCCGACGTTGCTTGAAGCGCGTCCACCATAGACTTTGAATGTAAACCTGCTGCTCCTGACGCTGAAATCGCGTTCGGTGTGAACGCACCATAAGTATTCAAGGCAGAAAGAAATAGTTACTAGAAATCCTTGACGGATCGTATTTCACCCGAAGCTTTGCATTCCAAAGTTTTGAAAAAAGACCTCACAAGATTTGTATTGATGTAAATCTAATAATTATTTCCTATAGATTTCATATACCTTACTTGTCAAATTTTACGGATTGTCCATAAACTACAAGGATTTCTGACCATTTTTCTTGACTACAGACACACAGAGAGTCTTGTGGATTTTTCAAAAACTCAGCTTTAAAGGTATTTTATCTAGGTATGTCATGGTGATGTATTTCAGAGCCTCCTGCTGCGGGGGGCATGAGAATGGGCTCGCTACAGATGTGACATTTGCAAAGATTTTGAATGGCTCCTTATAATGAACTATAGGAAATAAGTTGTAAAGAACTGCTTGTAGGTTGTTGTTGTTTTTTTTACTCCTTGTAAATCTTTATTTTTCACCCTTAACCACAATGACAATCGTCTCACCAGGACCAAAAATATTGAAAGTAGTTTATTTTTTTTAAATTGCAAAACACTGGTTAGATTTACTTCTGAAAAAATAAGGAAATAGATCACTTTTTTGTGTTTCAGGTATGTGTGGAGTTTATATTTATGTCTCGGGTAATTCCACAAATATAGTTCACTTTAAGGCCATAAATTCTTTTTCTTATCTTTATATTCTCATAGCGGGGAGTTTTCTGGATTGGGCTGAGTGTATTTCCATCATAGAAATTCAAATTCAATGTAATATTTATGTTGTTATAAATGTAGTTTGTGTGAGAGTAATACATTTTTCTGTGAATTTTATAGATTTCTGTAGGTTAGTATACAGATAGACATTCAAAGTGGTTGATATGTATGGTTTTACTAAAATCTGTTCTCTGGTTTTTAAGTTATTTGGCTAAAAAGTAGACAAACAAACCAAGGCACACTGTTATATTTACACACAGATTCACACACACACACACACACACACACACACACACACACACACACACACACACACACACACACACATATTCGGACACAGACGGTCTAGTACAGCTATCTTTTTGATGACATTGCATTGACATTATTAATTTCTACAGCCTAACCCTGACCCTTTATCCTAAACCTAATCTCAGAGGTGACCCTAAATCTAACCTAGACTCAATTCATACCTTCGTCCTAAACCGATCCCCCAACCCGCCAGTGGCATTTCCCCTCGTGGGGACTAGGCTTAGGTCACCATAAGTACTAGGTGGTCCCCATAAGTAGGGGTGTATGCCAAAATGGGAACACCCACACACACACATATGTCCTAGTACTTGCTTCAAACGGAGGACTTTGTATTGCCTTCTATCATTTCTGAAACTGCATTTAAGCCTAATCCCAGTAATTCTCCCTAACCAAAACCATTACTAGTTTATCCCTAATCCTAACCTTAATCAAAACTTAATTCACACCATACCTCTAAACCTAACTAGTAGAGCACAGTAGAAGTGTGAAAAAAGTGAGGACTGGGAAAATGTCCTCACTTGCAAAAAATGTCCTCACTTTGTTGGTTAAAAATGTGATGGTCCTCACTCTATAGCAGAAACAGTTACACACACACACACGTTTGCACAACTATGCAATTGGGGACATTCCATTGACTTCCTTTACATTTCTACAGCCTAACCCTGACCAAAAACCCTAAGGCTAACCTCACCTGACCCTAAAACTAACCTAAACTCAATTCACACCTTGGTCCTAAACCCAACCCCCAACCCACCAATGGCATTTAAACCAAATGGGGACTCGACTTTTGTCCCCAAATGCACCAGTTGTCCCCAAATGCACCAGTTGTCCCCAAATGTAGGTAATTTGTCTTGAAATTGCCCCAAATTTCACCAAAGCCGACCCCCCCCCCCACACACACACACACACACACACACAGACATAGGCAGTCACATTATCGCACGTCATTTTTTAAAAAACACACATTAACTTGCAAGATTAACCTTTGGTCTAATGGCAGTTCTGAGATTGACCATTATCAGTCATTCATCATTAGAATTTTAACCAGCTTTTAAACACCAAAAAGGGCTTTTGAAGCATCTCAGTCCTTGAATCTGATGAGTAAATCTACCTCTGCTGGAACCTATCAGTATTCAGTGTAGAAATTTATTTATTTATTTATTTATTTATTTATTTATTTATTTATTTATTTATTTATTTATTTTTGCACAGTTCCTAAATATTAAAAAAAAACACTCAAATCAGTTGAAAGGCATTGATGTTTTTAGTCTTTATGATTCTCACACCGAAAACACACATCTTGGGTAGATTTGGAACAACAAACACAAACTGTTGATTTAAGTGATTCATAGTCAATCAAACTCATATTTGATTACATTTTTAATTTCCCAAAATATAAGTCAGTGCTGAAATTAAATCATGTGGCAATTAATTAAAGCACACAAACACATCTTTCATTTAACATGAGTGACATGTCTCTTATCTAAATTAGCAGTAAGACAGGTGATTTCCTGTGTGTAAATTAATATAAAGATTATTATTTTTTGTGCAAACAGATTGCTGCTTGTCAATTTTTATAAGTGTGTACATTTTAAATTAAAGCATGGACTGTTGACCCTTTTACTTAGCTTCATAGATTGGGTTTTTGTTCTCTAGGAATAGGTGTTGACAGAAGACCTTTAAAAAATGTACGTCTCATTTACGAGAAATTGTCTTTGTAATCTTTAAAAAACTGAATCAATGTTTCAATTTAAAGTTTTGTAATCACACAAATAGCCATCTGACATAACAGAAAATGTTTATAATACATGTCAAATACAAACCAGGATCAAACTATTTGCTAAAAGATCATTTGCATTCCCATAATAATAAAATCAGACTGAGGTTTGAACTAAAGCTCGTACAAATCTGTTACCCTGCCTGTTCAAATAGTACAAGGTGAACGTTGCCCCTTGTTTTTTTTTACAACTGCCTTATCATTCAACAAGTGTTACAGTGCATGTCGTTTATTTTCTATGCTGACAAGCAGAGGTCTTATCCCAAGATTTATCTCAAATAGGATTAGACATGCTGTATGGATGTGTGTGCGTGTTTGTGTGTGTGTGTGTGTGTGTGTGTGTATATACTCACACTCACGGTTTGAGTTCAGAGCTTCAACAGCGTTGTTTGGACAGTGGTTCCTCGTCTCCTCTGTTGCGTCCACAAGCAAGACAAACAGACGACCAGGCACGTGTGGAGTGTGTTGGTGTGTGCAGGACAGGAGACATTTGCTCCTTTTATCTTGCCTCCTACCACTCCCCCCACCCCCACCTACCCGCGGGAGGCCAGCCAATGGGTAAAGGGCTCATGGCCAGCGCAAGGTGAAGCTGATTCATGAGGACTTAAAGCTGTGAATGAATGAGAACGAATGTTAAAACATCCTTTTAGAGTAAACAAATAAATAAATAAATGTATCAATCCATCATCCATACCCGCTTCCTCTTTTCAGGGTCATGGGTGTCACTGGTGCCCCTATCCAGCAGTCACTGTACACACTGGACAGGTCGAATATTAAAGGTATGTAAGTTATGCAACTATATAAAGACAGGAGGCCAATTTAAAGCCAAGTTAGTGTTAAGAGTGGTCAATACAAAGTCCCACAGTCAAAGTGAAAGACTCTACAAGGCTATGAAGAACAGCAGTGCTTAGACACTGTGGGTCTACCAGATCCAGAATGACCAACAGGTGATGAGTAATCAACCAGACATGATGGTGGACAATTCAATTCAATTCAAAAATACTTTATTGATCCCAGAGGGAAATTAGGTATTGATCCCAGAGGGAAATTAAGTAATCAAACAGCAGAAGAAGGAAGTGGTGATAAATGTAGCAATCCCAAAAGACTGTATCAACAGAAAGAAGGAGCACAAGGAGCTGGAGAAATATCAAGGGCTGAAAGAGAAAAGAAAGATGTTGTGGAAAGTCCATCAGTAATCCCAGAGGTCACTGGACCACTCTGTGCTGTGACCCCCTAACTTGAAGTTCACATGGACTGAAACCAATTGGAATTGGGAGTCAAAGGCAGGACAACCAGCATCCTCTCTTTTTTATTTAGTCCAGTAAAATGTTAAGGTTGTCAATAATGAATTATTGGATGTTTTAACCACTAGACACCTACCCAAGGAAGGCCCTGCTGAGGTGTCAGTTTGTGCCCTTTGGTCGACCGAGTTTTTATTGGTTATTGTTTGAATGAAGAAGTACATGGTATCAGGCTAGAACTAGTTTGCTTGTTCATGTCAGAACTGACATATACTGTATATTTCAGTACAATTTTTAAAACCATTTTAAAGAATGTCATACTGATACATGAAAAACAATAGCATTTTCTAAAGCTATACAAAGATTAAGAACCACTGGTATGTGCTAAAGTAATAGTAATACAGAAGAAGGTGCAGAGAAGATATACAGTAAATAAAGTTTTAATATGACTGCACACCTTTTCTCAGTCTTTGAAAGATCTCTTCTTCTTTCCTAATTTTAACGAAAGTAATTAATGTTGCAGAAGATCTGCTGCAGTTTTGTGTAAAGCATTTTGGGGAAAAGAGGGCTCCATTTTAAAACGTGTGACTAAGCCATCAGAAAACAACTGTTCATGTTTAACTGAAATTGTATGTTTTTATCCTCTATGATAAATTTTATAATTTATTTTACTCACTATTAACTGTTATTTAATCAGGCAAATCCGAGATCACAAATCTCCTTTGCAAAGGCGGTTAGGGTAAATAATAATAAATAACCTTATTGTTGCAAAGCATAATGATGGCATCGGTTACAGAAGAATGTCTAAACTTCTGAAGGTTCCAGTGAGCACTGTTGGGGCCATAATTCAGAAGTGGAAAGAACATTATTTCACCATAAACCGACCACGACCAGGTGCTCCTCACAAGATTTCTGACAGAGGAGTGAAAAGAATTATCAGAAGAGTTGTCCAAGAGCCAAGGACCACTTGTGGAGAGCTTCAGAAAGACCTGGAATTAGCAGGTACGATTGTTTCAAAGAAAACAATAAGTAATGCACTGAACCACCATGGCCTGTATGCACGCTCACCACGCAAGACTCCACTGCTGAAGAAACAGCATGTTGAAGCTCCTTTAAAGTTTGCTGCACAACATTTAAACAAGCCTGTGTAATACTGGGAGAATATAGTCTGGTCAGATGAGACCAACATTGAACTGTTTGGATGCCAGAATACACATCATGTTTGGAGGTCAAATGGCACTGCACATCAGCCCAAAAACACCATACCAACAGTGAAGTTTGGAGGTGGGAACATCATGGCGCGGGGCTGTTTTTCAGCATATGGTACTGGCAAACTTCAAATAATTGAAGGAAGGATGAGTGGAAAAATGTACAGAGACATTCTTGATAAAAATCTGCTTCCATCTACCAGGATGATGAAGATGAAACGTGGCTGGACATTTCAGCAAGACAATGAGCCCAAACACAAAGCCAAGGAAACTCTCAGTTGGTTTCAGAGAAAGAAACTAAAGCTGCTGGAATGGCCCAGCCAATCACCTGACCTGAATCCAACAGAAAATCTATGGAAAGAACTAAAGATCAGAGTTCATAGAAGAGGTCCACGAAACCTTCAAGATTTGAAGACTGTTTGTGGAAGAATGGGCCAAAATCACACCTGAGCAATGCATGCCACTAGTTTCTCCATACAGGAGGTGTCTTGAAGCTGTCATTGACAACAAAGGCTTTTGTACAAAGTATTAGATAAATTTCAGTAAGTGTGTTCAATACTTTTTCCCTGTGCCATTCCACATTATTACAAATAACTTCATTTCTGGACATTTATGGTTTGATTTCTTGTATGTAAGGATCACTTGGGTTGTTACCGACATCTGGTGAAAATTTCACGTCATTAGCACCTCTAGTAATATATTTACTGAGAAAAATGTTGACGTGTTCAATACTTATTTTACCCGCTGTATTTAACTTTGCTCCATGACTGTTGAAGAGCTGTCTTCTGTTACAACATATCATAAAGACTGGGTCTGGTTTGCTGTATATTTACTGTGGCAGAGTGCAAATCTGCAGACATGTTAATGTTTAGTCATCTACTTTGTGCCAAAAAAAAAAAAAAAACACTTTAGGCTTGAAAATGTCACGTTTGCATGACTGATAATCCAAAGTGAATGACACCCTGATTGGGTCAGAGGGTTTTAGTGTATGTACTGCCTCCGTCACTAATGTGAGCACTAACCAACACACACGTTAAAGTCACACTGTAAAAATCACACAATATTGACACATAAGACGAATGCTATTATTAAATCATTTTGTATGTCCAAGGAATAAAATATGTTCAGCTCTAGTGTTTGTTGTAGCATTGCTCCATCTAGTGGACAATATAAAGCTATTTTTCTGTTAAATTTTACAGCCTAAATCATGTTGTATTTTGGTCAGAAGAGAACGAACATTTAACCTGTAGCTAATCAGTGCAAATGCAGACTTTATTGTAAAACTGTTGAAATATATTCTGTAATCCCATTAGCAGGTGTATCAAAAGCTTTCCTGAATGAAGACACTAATGTTATTTTTAAATCAGTGTTTACTTTCATTCAAATCAACACATAAACATTCTCATTCCCACTTCTGATTTTTTTCTGTTTTACAAAAAAACAAAACAAAAAAACAACAAAGAACAAGTAAATGATAGAAGTTATCCAACAGTTTACAGATTGAAGCAACGTTTTTTATAGATACAGAATTTTCTTAACATAAGACAAGTTACTGTAAAATAATACCTCCTGGCATACAACAAATATTCATTTTTAAAATATTTAATAACTACCGTATATCTTTTTAAGTGGGGTTATGTGGGGAGGCTGTAAACAATTAACATATAACCTGCTGCAGAAAGCTGCTGCCTTGTGTTATAGTTGTGTTTTTAGTTTTAGTTTTATTTGACTCTCTCTTGGTTTCTTATATTTCTGCATATTTTATGTTTTCTACAGTAATCATGTTTTTTCTGTATATGTTCCCAATAATAAATAACATTTTATTCAATCCAGTGTCCAAATCTGAAATGTGTTATGACTGTTTCCTCTCCTCTGTTTTTTTCCAGAGCTCCACATTTCTCCTGTTTTCCATTTTATTCTTTAAAATCAACCTTTTCTTTGTAATTGTTTTTATTTTTTTATTGAAATTTTATTTTTTGCTATTTTCTCTCATTTTCTACTTTTGATGCTCTAGTTCTGTTTTACTGAATTTCAGCTATGCTTTTTTGGTAGCCTTTCTTGCTGCTTTGTCTGCTATTTCCATTCCCATTATTCCGACATGTGCTGGTTTACATACAAATGATACTACCCATCGTTTTAATCCTGTACAGTGTTTATTGTATTTCTATTAAGATATCTGGTCTTTTTTCTGAACAATTATTGTTTAAACTGAGTAATGAAGAGCTGGAAACTAAACAAATTATTGATCAAAGTGTTTAATTATCCTCAATCCATTGAACAATGAGCAGTATTGCAATCATTTCTCCTGTGTATTTTGACAATTTGTTATTGATCATTTTCCCTACTTTCACTCCAAACTCTGATATGATGAATTTAGGATTCTTGTCTCTGTGCTCCCTTTGTCACATCCTTATTTTACCCACGGTCAGCCTCTCAGTACTTTTTCAATCAATCAGCCATCCACACCTGCTGTCACTTTTTAATCAACCCAGTTGACTCCCATGTCTCATCAGTCCCACTCCAGTGTCTAACTAACCACTTTCACGTCAGCAGATCCTTATTTTTGACACACTTTGAATTGCCCTGTTATTTCACCCTTAACAGTTGGTCATCTTTGTGTCATCCCCAGTTTTGTAAGTTTTGCTGCCTCTCCAGACTTTTGTTTTTATTTATTATTATAATCCTTTTAAGTTTATCTTTCAATCCTCATGTCGTCTGCATTCTGGATTGTACCACACCACCCTTAAGCTATATAAACAACCTCATTAAGAAGCAAAAGTTTAATTTTGACCAAGTTTGAGAACTATTGACTATTCAGAGTAGGGCCAAGAACAAATTGAACATTTTAAATGACTTCAATTTCATACTGTACATTTGATAACATCTTTATAAAATCTTTGTACAACTTTCCATTTTTTAACGAAGACTTATTCCAGCAGAAAACATATTTCTGAACCAGAAGCACTACTGTGTTTGTAAACAACCATGTAGTGGGCAACTGATAGTGATGTAAGGAGTGTGGTTGTGTACAATGTAAAGGTTTATGAAATAATTTTTGCATAGACTTCAATCACATC